GGCTTAGCTCATCATCATTGAAAACCATAATTGATGTGATACGGATGCCGCCGCTGGCACTCCCACAGCCCTACGTCTGCAGGAGGGAGGTGATCTCATGCTTCACCGAGCACAGCCTCGTCAATGGACCCCTATCAGTTGTCACGAGGGAGACTCTCCAAGACCTCCGCATTGACCTCAACAAGGAGGCACTCTGTGGCTGCGCGTCAAGGACATTGCCGGACGGCTTAAACCTAGACTAACTCGTCTTTTGTGGCGGCCTATGTTGGCACAGCCCTGATAGCACCGGATACTTAAAAAGGGCAGCCCGGTGCATGTAGCTCCCGCTTGCGCAGGGTCGGGGAAGGGTCCGACCACTTTGGGTCTATAGTACGCAGCCTTTCCCTACATTTCTGTAAGAGGCTGTTTCCAGGACTTGAACCCGTGACCTCATGGTCACAAGGCAACAGCTTTACCGGATACTTCCAGCAACAAAAACAAATCAGAGCTGACGAGATGTGTACATACACAGCTAGCACACAGTGGCTGACTGACTTGTTCAGGACATCTAATGGTCGCCAATGGCGAAGCTAGCTAGCAAAACGATCAAGCTGATCGATTATAGTTGCCAGCCAAAAACACACAAAATGCACGACACTCGAGGACTGGTGATTGCAACCTAGTGTCCGACACAGGGATGCATGGCACACCGTCGCGTGGAAGTCTAGTCGGTGCCTCCTCGAGTTAATGCGGGAGTACTTCAGGCTAAGGCGGCCCTGGTCGGCATCGGCCAAGTCAGATGCAGCCCAAACAAACTGGTCACACAGTGCGTCAACTGACTTCATTGACCGGATCAAACAATGTCCAATCTGCCAAACCGGTGCCTAATCCACTAAACCAGCTGATAAATCATGGTTGGGAGGGTAATTACCCAGTTTAATTAGGTCAAGGGGCTAGATGTACCAAAAAAATAGATTAGGGCTCCTTTGCTAGAAAAGAAATTCATAGGACTTTTGGAGGATTATAACCCTTGGGAATTTTTCCTAAGTTGGTCGTTTGATTTGTAGGAATGGATCCTATAGGAATTTTTCCTAAGGAATCATTTGTACTACGTTCCACAGGAAATCTAGCATCCACTCCAACCTCTTTTTACAATTCTTTGTTTTTCCTGTATTTTTCTCGTTCCTGCATTTTGAATTCATGTTAAACAACAAGGCCCTTCGGGAGGGAAATGGTCCAAAGTTGATACTTTGGGGTGTTAAACAGACTTATCTCACATTTTATTGACATTATTTTTTCCTTTCAAAAAGGTTTGCTGAATTTTACGATTGACTATGTCGAAATAGTATAAGATAAAGTGTAGCTTTTAAGTAACTTTACTGGAAAGATTAACAGATGCTGTAGTTGCTAAGTTATACAGGAATGAAGAACTACTGCTATTTACTAAGATGATCAACTAGATTAATTTGCCCTTGACCTCGGTGACAACTACACTTGGTATAGATAGATCCGGAGCAATCGTTGAAAGGCGAGCAGAGTATCCATCGTATGCTTCCATTCTGTGATTTGAGAGACATGGTGCATCTATACAGCAGTAGTAATTCGAAAGTGTGGGAAGGATACTAATCCGTATTTACTAAGATGGTCCCTCGGTGGCAACTATACTTTGGTATAGATAGATCAGGAGCAACTGCTGAAAGAAAAGCAGCTGTTATCCGTCGTATGCTTGTGATTTGAGAGACATGATGCACAAAAGTTTTTTAAAAATAGTTGTGTGTTTTGCCACCGCCTTGTGCTTTTGTGACCAAAGTACACGCTTAAGTGCAATTATGTGCTAGGCATTTTGCTATCACCTAGAGCCTAGGCGTGCCTTTTTTAACTATATTGATGCATCTATACGACAGTACTAATTCGAATGTGTGGGAAGGATTGCGGCGCCATAGCAGGTTAGCATTTGTAAGATTGAAAGACATAGTTTGGTACCGTCATCAATTAGAAATACATGGATCTAGAGCAATTTAAGCAAAACGTGAGTGCGTTGTGGAAAAGGAGCTGCAACTAGCAGACGAAGAGCACCGCACCTTTTGGTGTGCGTTGTGGCGCTTGCCGGCCCTCCACCTGCGGATCTGGCCGTCCTTCATCGTTCTGAAGCGGAACTTCATGGACCTGACACGCACACCACCATGAGATTCAGAAATGCAGGCAATACACTAGCGGTGGAGGGAGAGTGAGTTGGAAACCTACGAGGGGGCCTTCATCTTGTATTTCTTGACTTTGGAGATGGTGGGCGTGGTCGGCGCGCGGGACCTGCCCTTGATGGCGTAGTGGCGCAGCTGCATCGCCATCACCGGAGGCCGGACGATCGCAGCAGCTGCCGCCGAGTGGAACAGCGAGCCCGTGATGGGGAGAGGCGCGTGGGTGTGGGAGTGGTCGCGGAGGAAGGGGAGGGAGGGCACGGGCGGGCGGGCATGGACGACGATGGGGGAGGAGAGGAAGCGGCGGGCGAGGCCGCCGGCGGAGGAGCAACACCACCGCCGCATCGTGCCGTGTTGTTGCGTGGCGGGCCTCAGCAAGCAGCTAGGGTTTCAGTTTGGTTGTCTCCGCCATGTCCCCTCTCATCTGTCCATCTTGGAGCGTACTGAGAAGAAAGCCCAGCCCAGGCTGGCGCCTACTACTCCAGCCAGCCCATTTCACACCGCTCACAAACTTGTCTCAAAAAAACAAAAACTTATCAACACAATCGTTTTTTTAACAACACAATCGTTAAGAAATAGATCCGTCTCACGCGAGTGGTCTATCCCTCCCCAGCCGCCGCCTCCTAACCCTAAGCCGCCGCCGCCGCCACAACTACTGCCGCCGCCTCGGTCCCCCTCCTCTTTCCCGTCCGACGGCCTCATCGGCGGCAAGAGGAGTGGGGACCCGTCCGTCTTGTTTTATTTTTCTTAGGTTTTTGTTTCTCCGGTGGCATCGACGAGGTGGTGGCGACGATGGCGTGTTGGAATAAAGTCTCTCCGGTCTCTCCCTACCTCGACGACGTCCGATCCGGCGCCGGCGAAGGGCCTGTGAGAGTT